GTCTGATTATGAAGGTAAATTAAATACCTGACAGTGATCATTACACAGTGTGGCTCTAATTCCTCACTTCACCATCTGTGTCGCAGCTGAGCGTGCACATGGGTCAGAGCTGGCTGAGGCACCGCACATTTTCACGTCAAGTTTGGATTTTATAAATCACAACCTTGGCGTGAAAAGTGGCGTACGCAAGTTTCTGGGCTCAAATTGTGCRTACGCCAGTTTTATAAATCYGACCCCTGAACCCTGACCTGGCACTGACAACTTGTCTACTTTGCTGTGTCAAAGCCAACACGCCTGCCCATCTATCCTCTTTTTCTAAAAGGAAATCCATGTCGGATGAAAAGACAGAGAGAAGGACGAAAAGATGGAGAAGAATATATGCTCACAATGTAGGATTTAAATATCCAAGGACAAATCTGGCTGAAGAGTTTTGGTTCCAGAAATCATGAGCTGCCTCTGTGAATATGCACTCAGCATAATTGGAGATCACAGAGGAGCAGCGCTGTTTACCGGAATAATCATAGGATCAACCATCTGTTTGTAACTATACTGGATGGTTTAGAATAAATGTAGCCTGCTAAGGTTTTGTAATGTTCGTTTGTGCTCCGGTTGTAAAGACAGGAAACCCTTAGACAAAGATTATAAGTGGTGCTCAATCAACGTCTGTTTTTTTTTCTTTCCCCTCCCTCCCGTTTACGTTGTCTTCCCTCATCACCTCTTCTTCTCTCCTCTCAGCGGCGTCCAGCTTCAGTTTTTGCCGTGCCTCCCTGGAGCACACGGTGTCTGCTGAGGAGCTTAGCTACCAGCTGCCGCGTCGCGCCGGAGGCAGCAACCTGACCTGGCACGACAGCCGCGGCCAGAAGACTGCGCACACACGCACCGTCAAACTGCTGCAGCAGCCGGGCACCGAGGGCATCCAGGTACCAATATCTCCCCAAAACAGAGCTGCAGCTGCCCTGCGAAGGAGGGCCTCTGATGCAGGAGAATGACTTTCAGATGGAGTTCTTGATTGCAAAATGAGAAAATAGATAACTGGAATTTGTTTCGCAGGAGGCACAAAATAAACAATTGACTTTAAAAAGTTAGTGCTACTGGACTTTATACCATCTAAATTAGTTTTTRAAACACAAAATGAACTAGACTTCATGGTTTTTTTTTTTTTTTTTGGGGGGGGGGGGGTGACAAATGAGCCAATTCCAAGTACTGAATTGGTTAATCTAAGGTTTAGGCTTCTAAATGGATCGTTAAATCAACAGTTCTGTTAAAGTGGGGTTTGATGAAAAGACGGTGGACAGTTGATGTCTTACCTGTTGTAGATAGCTCTTTAAACGATTTCATGTTTGAAGTTAGAGTTTAATTTTGACTGAATTGACAAACTAGTGATTCTAATGTACGGTAGTTTAGAATAGTTTTTAAAATAATAAATGCATGACCCCACATGACATTAAAAGATTGGAGTTGTTTTAAGACAGAAGCAATTCACAAAGCTGTTTGTACAAATGTCCCAATGGGTCTTGCAAATGATATTTTATAAACCTTTACCTTACTGGCAATTTTACATTACACAGTTATTTACATAACATTTATGTTTTTTTCTTTGCCCAAGCACAAATAGTGGTTCGTGCAAACAGCAGTTATTTGTAGCACTTTGGGTCATCCTGGGGTGAATAATAGTTTTCATTCTAGAACAATCTTGTCACATGGGTTAAAGTGAAAAAAAAAACTTTTGACTGAAATATTTTTCCCAACCGCCACCCTATTGCTATCCTGTGTAAGTTGACTAAGGACATGTACACTACATGTCCTTAGTAAAAGTACACAGTATTTTTTTTACCATTGAGGCGTTATACAAAGAATTTAATTAAATTATTTAAATGGCTTCAGCTCATGTTATCATTTAATAAAATTTATTCTTCATATTTCATCATTTATTGAATTCATTACAGAGCAGCTGTGTCACAGTATGGTTCTAAATATAAACATTTGTATACTTACAATAAAGTACAAAAACATTTGAAACACTCACCTAAAGAACATGCTAATGTTCTCCTAGTGATGATGAGGGTTTAAATTAAATGGAGATTCATCTTTGCTTTAATATAGGGCAAATAAATGTGGCCCTGTGATGGACTTGCGACCTGTCCAGGGTGTACACCGCCCCTCGCACTGTGACTGCTGGATATGGGCACCAGTGACCCACGCAACCCTGAAAAGGAAGAAGCGTGTACAGAAAATGGATGGATGGATGGATGGATAAATGTTTGTTAGTCAGTGCTCACCGGGGTGCACTGCCGTGGCAGTGGTCTCGTGACTCAGTTTGCGCTTTGGGTGCAGCCTTTGCATGAGGAGCTTAGTCACACACGCAAAGTTGGACATATCTGTCGGATAATGATGCTCTGAACAGATAAATGTGTAATATAAAGTTAGGTTTTAGAGWCCAAAGTCTCAGGAAGGTCCGGAGCGAAGTGAGTAAGGAGAGGACGTCTACTCGCTCAGGACTGACCGCTGCTCCTGCAGATTCTGGTCTGGTGCACCTGCCCTGCTCTGCTCTGCTCTGATTGGTTACTAGTGCTTTGGGGATCGTTTGATTTGCTGACAGTAGCATCCCGTTTAGACTGGGTTGCTTTAAGGAGACTGCAACAGAAAACAACCAGTGTTTATTTATTTTTTCCTTTTTCTCACTGCTGACAGATATCCGTCCTGGCCACGTACAAAATGGCAGAAATCCGTTGTGGYGACGGAGAAATTTAGGCCCTGTTATATGATCTGATTGCAATTTAAAAGTTTATAAAATAGCATTTTTACAAACTGATACGAAAATTTCGATATTTGTTTTAAGATAGCATTGGACTAGCCTTTAATRGTCAATCTGGTCAAAATTAACTTCCAGTTCTCCAAATGGAGGTGGTTCAAGAGCCATCTACAACAGGTATATTCACTGCATCATGACTTTCCATAGAACMATGAGMATCTCTTTAAAAATATTGCTCCAAAAACATCTGGAGGTCAACAGTTTGAGCCTTTACCTCAACAATGACACATTTGTTTGTTAAAATTACAATTTAGTAGTTGAACTGRCATCAGAGCAACACAACAGTAAATGTATGATCAGTGCTACAGCTCAAAGCTCAGTGTTGACAGGAAGTCTAATCGTCTTATTTTGTTCTTATTGTTGGCTGATCTTATTTTGCTCAGTCGTAGTAGAACCACCGGGGAGAAATTAGTTACATAATTGAGAAATGGCTCAAGAAGTTGATGACWTGTGACGTAACATGCTGCACAGAACCCATCTGATCAGTGGAGTGCATTTAATAATAAATATCTCTGAAAATCTCATTTATTTTACAGATGAATGTTTTCCCTCAGAGAGCAGCAATGACTTTAACACAAATGCGTTCAAATAATAGGTATCAACCCTCATTTGAGCGCTGACTGGTGTGTGAGGAATGTTTCAGTGGTCCAGTGTTTGAACGTAAAGCAGCTCCTGTGTTGTGTACTCAGACCCTGCTTTAGGAAAAGCGTATGCTCGTTTGTCAAGCACCAGAGAAATGAAACAAAGGAAAGATTTATCTATTTTAAGGCAAGTATCTGACCTAGAACAGCATATGAAACGACGTCCTCCTCCCGTTTTCTTCCCCCCACTCTTTTAATAAAACAGAGCAGATAGCCCAGTGGAGGTCATTTTTCTTTTTTGCTTCCCAACTGCTTTTGAGAAAAGTTGTAATGTGGAGGCTGCGAGACGCGCTCGCACTACAGGACTTATTTAACTATTCATAATAGAGAGAGTCCTCTCAGCTATATAAAAACTAAATAAAATATGAGTAAAAATCAGTTTTACGATTACACAAAGACCGGATAATTAAACCTCCTCCATACCGTGAGAAATAAGGCTTATCGCTTCCTTGTCGTAACAAGAATAATGCTTCTTTATGCATTATTCAACAGCTGGGTGAGCAGTCCAGCTCTCTGGCATATATATGTGCGTGTTCACAAAATTCATGCAGCTATGATAATAAACGCTTGTGTGTCTGGGTTTGCATGYGTTGTTGTCTGTGCGTCCATTTCTCTCAGGACTGACGATTAGATTATTCTCCATTAAAGTGACATTGTACACGACGGCTGTAATGACAGAGCCAGTTAAGTGAAACAGTTCCTGGATATAAGGTAGGAGCTGGGGAATCCGTCTTGTGTGCTTAATAAAGCTGATATAACACATTACGCGCCGGTGTACAAACGGCCTATCATGGGAGACGGACGGTAATGACTGCAGAGAGGGACGACASACACTCCGGATGTTAGTGCTCATTCATGCGCAAACATGGCTGGCTTTTTCAAAGACGTCCCTTTTGTGTTTATGCGTTAATGGTACAAATGTGTTGCTGGGGGACACATAAAAAGCACCGAAGCCCACATCCAAAATATGATTTTGAAAATCCCAAGAAAAAAAATACCAACTTCTGAGGGAAGTTGTCCCTGACTGTTGTGCTTTTCAGYTTTAGGATTTAAAACAAGTGAACTATTCACAATAAAAGGAAAAGATGTTGCTACGTTTTACTKAATATTTTGTTTATTTTGTTGAGCAGCACCTATAGACTCATTTGTGTTTTTGCTTTGCAGCTGGTGGACCAGAACAAAGACCCGTCTGTGTAATGAGCTGTTTTTTTGCTCTGAACACACCTTTTGGGTCATCCTTGACTCGTTTAGAGTTCCTGACAGGGTGAAGAGAGGGGAGTTCGGCTCATTTAGCTGTCTGCTTCGTAGCTTACGGCTGAACCTTTAGATGAGGCTGGGGAATTGGTGGAATAACGAAGACACAGTTTAGCAAGTAAAAGCACCCTCTTTTTTTATATATATTTTTAAAGCTAGACTGGGCCTGTTAGAGGAAGTAAATCTTGTTCTGTGCACTAATTTGCCTTGGTGGATGGACGAATGGAAACGTGCACGCCGTRATTATTTTTCCTTCCTCATTACAGAGTGCAGTGGCTGACCTTTTCAACTGACACCAACACAAAGACGTGAATWAATGGAGAAGAAATGCACATTTTACAGCACTTCTTCACTAAGATACACTTTACTGCTATAGGATATTTGTCTCCARTCAAACACATCATTTTAACCACCAGAGTCGTGCAGTGTTATTGGTGAATCTATCCTTCCATTTGTCTTTACCCACTTTTCTGTGGATTGCACATCCTGGGCAGGCTGCCTGTCCATCACAGAGTCACAAATGAGACAACCACTCACACCTAGTGGAAATTTAGAGATACCAATTAACCTAACATGAATGTTTTTGGTTTATGTGTGACCCCAGAGTATCTGGAGAACAAACACATGCACAGCTGTGTCGCCATGCTGCCTTATRATAATTTCTAAATGTTATAGTAGCRTGTAAACAKTATTATTGTCATTTTTAACATTCTGCTGCTTAAAATCTTTAATGAATGTGCCTCGACACRGTTTAACAGGCACAATCGTAAACACGTATTTTAAAATCTGAGYGTAGCTCAGATTATTAATGTGTGTAAAAGTGCTGACCTGTGCTAAATTGCTGCTGTTGTTTGAGCTTCATTTAGAGGACAGAAATTTCAGATATTCTAATGCCCTCACTAATCTGAGTAGATTAAAACACATTTTGTCATATTCATCAGATTATCACCTGATGCCATGAAAGGAATTTCWTGAAATTGTAAAATTGCCTGACTGTCTGTTAGCAAAATATCTTGAAGTTTAACTAAACTCTCTGAAAGTAATCATTAAATGAACATCTGCGACTGATTATCTTTTAGCGTCACCTCAACATGGCCAACCCAACTAATCACCCAATGCAAACACAAAAATGTATTTCAACAAAAAAAAAGTACAGATTCTGAGTTAAAATGGGAGGTGGTAGGGTTTGCCCCAACATAAACTCTGAACATTA